TGGAGTCCCGGGGGAACCAGGACCAGAGGGTTCTGGGTTGGAGTCCCGGGGGAACCAGGACCAGAGGGTTCTGGGTTCTAGTCCCGGGGGAACCAGGACCAGAGGGTTCCCTTGTGGGTTTTATAGATTTATGTTTCTGCATTTAGAGGCTTTTCTCCAAAGCGACATTCAAAAAGAGGCTTTGGCTGCGTTTATTGGTAAAACTGCTCAAACCCTGTTGCACACGGTCCACTTGTGTTGTGTTTCTATTGTGTTGTTTATTTTTTGTCGTGCAGCTCTTTGGAAACCTGGTGTTTGTTAGCACTGTGCCACATAAACCAAGTGGACACGTGACAAAGGGGGGGGGGGGGGGGTTCTCCTCTTGTAACCTCGTCAGCAGCTCCAGGATCTTCCACAGGAATGTGGGTTGAGGTCTCAGACAGTTTTGTACCTTTAACCGCAGGATTTACATAAATCCTGTTTTTAAACCACAAAACTTTATTTAAATTCCTTTTTTAACCACAAACTTTGCATAAATTCACTTTTTTAACCACAAACTTTACATAAATTCACCTTTTTTAACCACAAACTTTACATAAATGTATTATTTTTAACCACAAGCTTAAATTTGTCTTTTTGAAACGCAAATCTTTCATAAATTCTGGTGCTGAGGACAGAAAGGAGCTGTCTTAGTTAAACCACCTCTGCGCTTTTTTGGGCCGTTTAAGGAAGCAAACTGAAGAAATGGAGTGAAGTCGGTTCCTTCATGTGGAGTATTACCGGGAGATGTTTTTATAAATCTATTTCTGGAGTAGTTGATCATTCTTCGGGAACTGTGACCGTGCGTTGCTGCTGCTCTGAAAATAAAACCGCTTCCCCTGTGCGCGCCTGTTTACCGGAACCGGGGGCTCAGAATAGAGCCCCCCCACCCCCCCACAGGGGTCCACGATAAAGCCGAACAGGAGCCCGCCCCTCCCAGAACCGGAGGAGCCCTCAGGAGCCGGTCCACGTCTCTGTGAGTCTCCGGCCTCCCCCGGGGAGCAGCGGACGGGCTCATTTCTGTAGAGGGCTTT